AGTGGGCAGGCTGGGGCCAGGGTGCTGTGAAGCAAATACGGAGCCGAGTAAGTGTCCTGTCTGCAGGAGCCGGGAATCCTTTGAATGAATCGCGGCAGCCTGAGGGGAAGTTTCCGTAAGCCCTGAGGGGGAAGAGAGGTCAGTCATCTGTCTCTTTCTCAGGAGGAACCCAAGAAATTGGGGAAACAGATATCACATGCAACCGGAGGTGAAAAAGAAAGAGTGTAGGAGAAGAGGGGGTGGAACAGGAGGGAGGTTCTGGAGGGGTAGAGTCAAGAGTGGGTTCTTGTTGCCCGGCTGGCCGGCGAGGCTCAGTGGTTGAGCATCGACTTATGAACTAGGCAGTCAGGGTTCGGTTCCCGCTCAGGGCATAGGCCCGGGTTGCAGGCTCCATCCTCAGTGTAGGGTGGGCAGGAGGCAGCCAATCAATGATTCTCTTTCATTATTGATGTTTCTATTTCTCTGTCCCTCTCCCTTCCTCTCTGAAATCAATATCAATATATTAAAAAAAAAAAAAGAGGGCGACTCTAATCCCAAGGTCCTTCCTGACCAAACATTCTGTAATTCCAAGAACTGCCTGGTTCCTGGAACACCCGCTTAAAGGCCTCCAGGCATAGGCTGTGCCAGGGAAGGGTGCGGCCAGGGAAGGCCAATCGGAGGCCAGGAGCGAGGGGTGGCACGTGGGACCTCCTGGCCAAGTGTCATAGGACCCAGTACCCAGGGTGTGGCCTCAGCCAGCGAGGGACACCGCACTTCCCAGCTTGTTTTTTCCTTTGACACAGACAGAGGAGAGGGTAGTCTCACCATCCAGTAGGTTAGAAAACGGAGGCTCAGAGGACTTACTGACCAGAAATTAACTAGCTTCCAGGATTCCTCATTGTCAGTATTCACGTTTCTTCTCAGGCATGTAGCATAAAGGGAAAAGCCCGGAGGTGGAAAATCAGATAGACCTGAGTTCAAAATCCCAGCTTCTGCAGGTTTTGGCTGTGTGACTTTGGGCAAGTTACTTGACTTCTCTGAACCTCAGTTTTCTAGTCTGTAAAGTGGGGTCAATAGTGGTACACCTATAGGGTTACTGTAAGGATTCAGTGGCACAATTCCCATAAAGCACCTATCACAGAGGGACAGCCCAGTGCATGGAAGCTGTTGGCTATGATTTTTGAAGCTGACATAGCAGATCTGTGCTGAGCTGAGAGCTCACTGCCCCAGGCTGCTCCTGCCATTTGCCTCCTGAGTTCAAGAGCTGACAGTGGCCCTAAGGTCTGGTTCCAATCATACCAGGCTCCTATTTGTCCCTCCGTGCTGTGCATGCCTTCAGCCAGGCCCCTGTACAGTAGGCATCCAATAAACATTAATTGATCGAATGAGTGACATGTGGGAAGAGGAGTTGGAGGGGAATCTCAAGGAGCTGTAAGGCAAATGACGGTGAATTCTGGGCACAGGCTTCATGGGTGAGATCCAGAGAAGGGGACGGGCTGCGGGGGAAGTGAGGGGACAGGCGGTGAGGGCAAGTCAGGGAGACTTTGAAGAGGGGGAGGCATTTGAGCTGAGCCTCGTAGGATGGGCGGTATTAAAGGCAGCTCGGACAGAAAGGACCAGGAAGACAGAAGCTTGCTCAGGGGTAGGTGAGAGCCAGGTTTCAGGAGATCTGAGAAGGAACCAGGCAGCTCCAGGCAGCAAGTTCCCTGTCCCAGTGATGGCCAAGCCAGTAGGTGACTCCAGCAGGAGCAGCTGGGGTTGGGCCATTTATTTATTTATAAATATATTTTTATTGATTTCAGAGAGGAAGGGAGAAGGAAAGATAGACACATCAATGATGAGAGAAAATCATTGATCAGCTGCCTCCTGCATACCCCCTACTGGGGACCGAGCCCGAAACCCAGGCATGTGCCCTTGACTGGAATCGAACCTGGGACCCTTCAGTCCACAGGCCGACGCTCTATCCACTGAGCCAAACCAGCTATGGCTGTCTATTTTTTAGATGTTTTTTTTTTTTATTGATTTCAGAGATGGAAAGAGGGAGAGGGAGTTAGAAGCATCAGTGATGAGAGGGAATCATTGATTGCCACGCCTCACACTGGGGATCGAGCCTGCAACCAGGGCATGTGTCCTGACCAGGAATCGAACCATGACCTCTTGGTTCCTGGGTCGACACACAACCACTGAGCCACACTGGCCGGGTTAGATGCCTTTTCATCTCCTCAGTCCGAGATCCTGTGTGACACAGACAGGAGCAGTCCAGGCTGTTCCCAGGCTGGACTCGGGGGAGGCCACTGGATAGAGATTCTGAAGGCGCAGGCTGGCCTCAGTCGGCTGTGCATCTGCCTCTGGTACCGCTCCAGCAGGCGCTCACTCCTCTGTCCATATTCTCGGGTCCCTAAGAACCACTGGTGCCCAAGTTCTGCAGCCGAGGGCTGGCATGGAGGGGTCAGGAGAGGAGAAAAGGCTCCACTCAGGGCCTGACCGAGTGGTTTCCTCCCCCCACTTATGTTGTCTGTGGAAAATGCTTCTTGCTAGTTTTATCCAGTATTCACTCTCTCCTGCTTTCCTTAATAACAAAACCTGGTTTGGCTAACCGTGGCTATGCAGCTAAATACTAGGTTTTCCGAAACTTTCTTGTAGCTGGGTGTGGCCATGTAACTAAATTCTGAGCAGATGTGCTGTGTTGTTCTACTTTTAGGTTATGGCCTTAGAAACGAGTTGCTGTGGCCTGCGCTGGCCTTCCCTGTTCTCTTCCCACAGGCTGGCCCTGGAGCAGCCAGCGTGGGCCTCAAAATGAAACCATGTTCTGAGGTGGCAGAACCAAGGGCTGAAGGAGCTGGAATCCCTGACACGTGGCGTTGGCATTTTGGTCCTGGGAGCTGGTCTGTGCCAATGAGATGCCTTTCTACCCATTTGGTTTGAGTCTTCAAGACAGCGGCCCGAACGCGTATCCCAATCAGTATATCCGCTCAGCTCCCTTCACTCCTCTAATTTGCCCCACGTTCTTCGCGAACCTGGTTCCGAGACGGGTAACACCAGGTAAGAACCTTCCTCCCCCGGCTGACCTCCCAGAACCCTGTCCTGGCAGCCCCCGAGCAAAGGGACCCCCTCACTTGAGGACCTTAAGGATCCTGGGAGCCCTGTGGCACTTGGGGAAAGTCCCTCAATGGTTTAAGTCTCGGTTTGTTCCATGTTGGCACCAGTAAAGAAATTCACTCCAAAAGGTGGTTTTATAGGAATACAACATAATCAACAAGGTTGTTATTCTGCTGGGGAGGGGACTGTGTCATGGGCAGATTAAAAAGAAGCTGGGGATTGTCCTTGCACCCAGAAGAGACCACAGGATCGTCTGTTCCAAAGTACATGCCCACCCAGACCCAGCCAGCACACACACACACTCCCCGCTGCAGGCCCCTGCAAAGTCAGGACCCCCCCCCCCCCTCAGTAACCGAATACAGACCCGAACCAAAGCTCTTGGTCCACGCAGCTGCAGACACAGGGAGCCGGGCACCGCAGAGCCACACAGAGAGGACAAGGCTCACAGCTGTTGCTGCACTTTATTGCCGCGCCACCCGGGGAGCTCCGGTTTCCTCGGCATCTTTCTTTTTGGGGCGCCTTCGTGGCTTTGCCCCTCCACGCCCGCCCTGCCTGTTGCCCCTATCTTGCCCTTGTTCTGCAGGTGCTCCCTTGGGGGCCCCTCAGAGCCTGAGGCAGGTGGGGGAGTCCTGGGAGTCGGGTGGGCGAGTAGGCCCGGGTCCTGCCTCCGGGCGCTGGCTCCTCCGTGGTCCTGCCAACATCGCCGTGGGGGGTGCGTGCTCCGGCCTCCTCTGGGGAAGGAAAGCAGTTGGTGCGAGGGGCAGAGGCCTGGGTCATTCTGCCATCACTTGCTCCGTGACTCCAGAGAAAGACCCTCTCCTCTCTGGGCCTCAGTTTCCCTCTCTGTAAACCACATTTCCCTCCAGTAGGAAAGGGTCTATGTGTCCGCCTTTGCACCGGTCACTGGGAAACTCAGAGTCAAATGTATGTCTCGTTTTCTTCTGTGTTGAGACACCAGGTCTTTAATCCCTCCTCCCCACCCAACCAGCACCTCCCGTCCTGGCCCTTCGAAGCAGAGGGTCTCCCCGGCCCTGGGCCCCTGGCACCTCACCTCCCGCGGTCTCAGGGCCGCGCCCCTCGCTTGTTCTGCTCCGTGTTCTGGAGCTTGGTCACCAGCTTCCTCTCGTGCCCACCAGGGCTGGGGCGGTTGGTGTGGGCAGCGGCTTCTCTCTTGGTGCGACCTTTCCGGCCTCCCACTCCTGGGAACGCAGGCGAGAGCAGAGTGAGCGGCTGGAGGCAGCTGGCCTCCCAGGGAGGCGGGTGGGGAGGCGGCGGTGGAAAGAGCTGGGGTTGGAGTCGGGAGGCTGGGGTTGCCACCACATAGCTTTGGGGTAGTGGTTCTCAACCTTCCTAATGCCGCGACCCTTTAATACAGTTCCTCATGTTGCGGTGACCCCCAATTTCATTGTTACAAATTGAACATAATTAAAGCATAGTGATTCATCACAAAAACAATATGTAATTATATATGTGTTTTCCGATGGTCTTAGGCGACCCCTGTGAAAGGGTCGTTCGACCCCCAAAGGGGTCGCGACCCACAGGTTGAGAACCGCTGCGTTGGGGTATAGTCCCTATTCCCCGCGGGAGGAAGGGGGTCAGAGTGGAGGGGCAGGGCCAGGCCTTACCCAGCTGGGAATACGCCAGGCTGTAGAGGTCGGACTCGTCCAGGCTGGGGTCTTCGTCCTGTGGGCCCGGGGGCTGCTGCGACGAGCTGGCGGCTCTGGGGAAGGTGGCCATCATGGCTGGCTTACTAGTACCCTCACTGTCTCTCTCGCCTTCCACAACTTAGTTTGTGTCTGGTTTCCTGGCACCTCCCAGTTCACTGGATCCGACTTATAAGGCCACGTCTCCTCCTCAGCGGCCGTGGCCCAGCCCAGCAGGCCCTGTCTGATGCAATCTGGCCCTTTCCCAGAACCGCGGTAAACACCCGGCATGAGGGGGGAACAGTCAGTCTCGTGAGTCCCAGCCCCTTGCCCTCCCTCGCTGGGGCCCGGTGTTTTCCACAGAGGAGATTCCCTGCCCCTCAGCGAGGAGGGGCCTGGCAAGGTCTGGCCATAAATAGTCCTTGGGAACATGGCCAGCAGGGACCTGAGGGCGGCCCACTCCTTCCTGTCCATCTGCTGCCCTCGGCCACGTGCCCCTTCTGGGATCGGGGTCATGGTCACACGGCTGACCCTCACTCCCACCCCAGTTGTGGCTCAGATTCAGGGCTGTGTGGCAGCATATGGGGTAAGGAATACGGGGAGAGGATATCAACAAACTGGCGCTAGGTCAGTGGTTCTCACCCCTGTCACTCCTTTTTTCCAAGAAACACCTTGGAAAGCCCCCTGAATACCCTGAACTGGGGCCCCTCGGTCATTCCCCTCACCTGAGAGGGAGGCCAGCCGAGTGGTTACGGGTGCAGATTCTGGAGCTGGATCTCAAGCCCCTGGCCCACTATTCCTGTGTGACCCCAGACAAGCCACTTTACCTCTCTGTGCCTTGGTTTTCCCTCTGTAAAACGAGGACGGTGATCATTGAAGCTGCATAGAGCTGGAGAGAGGAGCATGTGGGAGGGCACTCGCAGCGGTGCCCGGCCCCCGTGCCCACCGCACTGTGTGAGGGTTAGCCACGCCCCTCACAGCTCAGTAGAGCGAGCCCTACTGTCATAGAGAGGAACCAGAAGAGATTAATTCATCATAAAATAATATGCACTGCAAAATATGGATACACCAAAGCAGAAGACGTTATGGAGCAAGCAGATGTTTGTAGCGATTTAATGTGAATTAAAAGAGGGGGTTCAGATACAGAATGTGTGAGAGTGGAATTTTCCAGTCCTGCCTGAAGGATCTGGGTGGGCCGAGTTGCACCAGCTCCCAGCTCCCCTGTGTGTGTGTGTGTGTGTGTGTGTGTGTGTGTGTGTGTAACTCTGTGGTTTCCAAGGACAGGACTTCTCTGCCAGGCCAGGTGCTGGTTCTCCGCTCACGCTCCCCCTCCCCCGGAGCTGTGAGCCTATTGAAGCGTCATCCCCTTCTCAGGTTACCTGGACTCCGTCCTCCCCCAGCCCAGCAATAACCCGGCTGTCCTCTGTTTAACAGGAAGCAGCGCTTCTGCTTGCATTTCTCCGGGGCCTGAGCCAGAATTAAGTTTAGCTTTTGTTTCCCAGATCTGGGTGATTTGTGAGTTCTTGAACACCCAGGAAATGAAAGTGAAGACTGGACGACACATGAATCAAATCAGAGTTGGGCTAATAGCAGATCAGGTGTTAAGAGAAAGAAAAACAATAACCTTAATTTAAACAAAGATCACACCAAGACAAATTCAAGGTGGAGACAACGCGGAGACAGGTGTTCTTGCGAAGTGGTGGGCGGTACCGCTTGCTCAGTGCCGTTCCGTCATCATGGCATCAGGTGGGGCAGGAGGAGGCGCAGGTCGTCATGGTTAATACGATTTTTAGCTTCATGAGTTTTTAGCAGGACCGTCTAACGTTGTGCAGGATGTGGGGCAATTCTGTGGGCCACTGTTCTGTGCTGCCCCCCTTGTGATGACCAAGAGCCCCCCACAAATTCCAGAGCTGCCCCCCAAGGGTGGTCTTCCACTTATTCACCTCTGCCCCCAGGACCCCGGCCACTGGTGAGATGCCGGGCTCACTTCTGAGCCGGCGGCCCTGTGAAGTGAAGAAGCCACAGCCCAGTGTGAGCCGCTGCCACAGGGCCTCGCCCAGAGCCCGCACGTGATGCACTGCCCTCTGCTCTGCCCCCTGCCCTGCCCGGGCCCAGTTCTTCCCGGAAGGAAAAGGGAGACTCGGAGTGACTTGCTCAAGGTCAGGCGGCTGGTGAGGGGTGAAGGCCCGTCCCACGGCCCACCTGACCTTCTTCTGGGGCTCAGCTGGCCAAACACTGGCAGGTGTGTGTGGAGGCACCTGCCCGGATCCCTCCTTCCCTCGCCCCCCTTCCTCCCCTCCCTCCTTCCCGTCCCTAACACTTGGTGCCTGCCTTGGACCAGGCTGAGAGCTGAGCAAGCTCTGTGCCCTGCGGTGGGAGGGTCTTTGGCAGCTTCGTGTGCATCGCTGTCCAGAATACCACACATCCCCCGGTTGTCCTCCACCCATCCCCTGATTTTACCTTACTTTCTCCGTAGGATTAGTTACCACTAGTGGAAATATCTTTTTTTATATGTTTATTGATTTTATTTATTTATTTATTTATTTTTTATTATTTTTTAAAATATATTTTATTGATTTTTCCACAGAGAGGAGGGGAGAGGGATAGAGAGTTAGAAACATCAATGAGAGAGAAACATCAATCAGCTGCCTCCTGCACGCCCCCTACTGGGGATATGCCCGCAACCAAGGTACATGCCCTTGACAAGAATCGAAGCTGGGACCCTTGAGTCCACAGGCCGACGCTCTATCCACTGAGCCAAACCGGTTAGGGCTATTTATTTATTTTTTAAAAAATATTTTTATTGATTTCAGAGAAGAAGGGAGAGGGAGAGAGAGAGAGAGAGAGAGAGAGAGAGAGAGAGAGAGAGAAACATCAATGATGAGAGAGAATCAAGTTTACTGATTTTAGAGAGAAACATCGATGTGAGAGAGAAACATTGACCAGTTGCCTCTGGGTATGTGCCCCGACCGGCGATTGAACCCGCAACCTTTCAGTGTACAGGATGGTGCTCCAACCAACTGAGCCACACTGGCCAGGGCTAGAAATATCTTTTTTGTTCGTTTGCTTCTTCAGGATTTGTCCCCACTAGGATGCGATGGTTGGTCTGCTTTGGTTAAAGGAGCAGGCGTGGCAGGCAGCCTGCCTGAGTCCAGGCTTGGTTCCTCCACTTGTGAGCAGTGCGGCCTTAGACAACTTATTTAGCCTCTCCGGGCCTCCATTTCCTCCTGAAATGGGATGAATAATGGTATCTACCTAGTGCGCTTGTTGTGAAAATTAAAATACTAATTCTCATAAAGGCTTGGCACAGCCCTAGAAGATAGTAAGTACTTAATATATGTTAGCTATTATTATTATTATTCACGAGGGAAGGAGTCTTATCTATCTTATCATTGTTGTATCACCAATGCCTGGCACACAGTCAGCGCTTAATAAGTGACTAGTCGAGTACCTGAAACTATGCTATCGTCGGCACTGCTTTTTCAGCTTCCAGATGCTCTGCTCTGAGGGAATGGAGACGCTCAATCCTAGCCTCCCCCCCCCTCCCCCGCCACCCCGGACTGTGAAGTCACTGTGGCGTCCTCCACAGCCAGGGAAGAAGGTCTAGGAGAGGGAAGACCAGACCCT